TATGAATACTTCTAGGTAACATTAAGCTGTCGTTGGCTCTTTTCTGCTGTAACAATGCACATTGCCCCTCTGTGGGACTAATAAAGGTATCCTGATTCTGATACTAATCTTCAGCGTGAGGAACAGAGATGTTGAAATGTGTTCTCTTATCCCTCATTGTTTAAATATGTGTCTAAAACAATGTAGTCTAACTGCGTACTACAGATATGAGCTAATAGCTGTATCTGGCATGAAACACCTCTTTTTGAGATGCATGTATTCAATGCATGGTTCGTTTAATGAAGACATGATACTATATATTTTTACCCGCAGGACTACAACAGCCTCTTTCCCCTGGATGACACTCAGCCCTCTAAACTAATGCGCCTGCTCAGCAGCAATGAGGACGAGCCGGCTGCCCTTTCCAGTCCAGGTCAGTCTATTAATGTCTGGGTTTTAATACACTTGAATTATGAAGCCGGTGGCCTCTCAGTCGTTTGGCTTTTTAAGAACCTGTTACCAGCGAGTTGCTTCTTGTGAGTGCTTTAGCTAAATCAGAAAAGCATAAATAAGCTCAGGCTGTCGTTAAGCATCTGTTTTAACCGTCAGCAGGTTCAGACTTGAGCTCTGCAGTTTAATGTGAGGTGTTTGGCTTTGAATCATTCAGTACTATACAGGAGAGAGATTGCTTTTGAGAACAATAGAAGAATTGTGGTTTCAAATTGTGCTTAAACTAATTACTATTTTCATTTTCTATTCGTTTCGCAATTATTTAATACGTTTTCAGGTCTTTTTAAATTTCAGTCGTGATGAAAAATGCCATAATAAAATATCTTCTTTTGGTCACAGCTGTAACATATTCTGTTAGCTGTCAAAGGAGAGCAGGGAAAATACAAAGTATTCACATTCAAGAAGCTCAAAACTGAGACTTAAAGGTAGGGTAGGTAAGAATGGAGAAACCAGCTCGACTGCGCTAGAATTTGAAAATACACAACCCCTTCCTTCAGACTTCCTTACAGAGCCCCTCCTCCAACACACACGAATGCGCACATGACCAATGAGGGCACGAGATAAGTTTGTGCACAGATGGAAGGCTGACAGGCAGGTAGGCCATCCACTTACTTTAGCCGGGCCGGCTCAGATGATTGGTCGTGCTTTTTACAGCGCCACGGCTTCCACACATGACATTTTTCAATGTATTAATTGTCAAAGCATTTATTATATTCATTGCTATCAGGATGTTAAGAGCATTCCATGGAATATAACAAAAAGTGTTTCTGAAATAAATGACATACCCCACCTTTAAGTTTATTTTCTTTGTTAAAAAAATGACTCAACTTTTATTTTAAAACTTGTTGGTGATTTATGTAATAGTTTACTTCTTATTTCCACATCTTTAGCTCTTTCTCCAAACTGCTCTTATCAGCCTGACTAACGTAATCATGATTCAGCTTAGGGAAGTTTCACCTTTTCAGTGTTTGTTACAGCCACGTCAAAATAATTCCGAAACAGGGCGTTAAGGATCGGTGTGTTGCATGACATAGGAAGGAATGCATGAGCTATTTTTATAAATAACTCTGAAAACTGGGGGAGTTGTAGTGGTTTGTTTTTATCCAAAGTCTAATGAGATCATCGATTCACCTAAAAAAGTTTGATGGAATATATGTTTACTTCTAAAGATAATTAAAAAGATTTTTGGCATATTGTACTTTTGGTTTTGAAATGTGTCTAAGAAGGTTATTTAAGGAACAAACGTACATTGTGAAAGAGAGCCCTGGAGGGAATCCTTTTAGACTTTCAAAACCTCTAGTCCAGACATTTTGTCACCCCCAACAGAAAACTTGTGGATAATCACAAGTTCCCTGTTGATTTTCTGTTGTTTTGTGTTTGTTTTCTCCCCATGTGACAGAGTCAAATGGAAACAAAACTAGGGATTTTTTCTGCTGTTTCTCACATCATGTTTCCTCATAGGAGACCGGTCTATGAGCAGCTCGCTGTCTGCCTCGCAGCTGCACACCGTCAACATGAGGGACCCTCTCAACAGAGTCCTGGGTGAGATCTCTCTCTGTGCTAAACATCCACACATGCTTATAATTACCCCAAAAGGCCCTCCTTTTACAATGGATGCCCATGCCAACGTTCAAGTTGTATCACTTTCAACATCATCATAATCATTCTGTAAATGTTGCTTTAAAAATATCTGTATTTTGGACATTTTAATTGAACTTTGAATTTCGAACTCATTTTATTATTTTTGTGTTTGGCTTTAAGGGGCCCTATTATTATATTCTATAGGTCTGTGTGCATGTAAATGGTCTGCAAAGGCTAACATCCCACATAGTGACATCACTAACACTTGGGCTTCTATTTGCTATGAACCTGAAATAGCATAATAGGGCCCCTTTAAATCCCTGTCACACTGTCCCGAAAATTGACACCCGATGGACACACAAATACTGAATTGTGAATTTCGCACGAAGATGGCCCCGAACCACACACGAAGTCAACATTTACAAGACATACAGCTGCAACGAAAGTACCACAAACAATTATGTTAAAGTATTATGATACTGTACTGATATTTTCCGGCGGTCATACGATGGCTTAAGATGCCCTCACGAATGCCTTACGAAGGGCAAAATGGACACACGAAATCAACACGAAAATGAACCTTCACAAGGTCCTTCGGCAATGCTTTGTGATGCCAAAGATGTTGCCACCGCTCCCGAAGTTGCTGCCGGAGCCTGAGAAACTCCACCGGCGGTCATACGATGGCTTAAGATGTCCTCACGAATGGCCCGATGTTGTTACGATCAGAGCCGATTTTGAACATTTCCTTAATCGTGTGTCCATCGGGTGTCAATTTCGGGACAGTGTGACAGGGGCTTTAAGGATGGTTGAAAGGATCTAAATAACTTAAATGTTAATTACATAAGATGATCTAATGGGTTTTTTATGTTTCTTTTTGTTTATGTGGCAATGTGTGTTTGTTTGGACCCAGCAAATAATAATAATAATAGATTACATTTGTATAGCGCCTTTTAAAGGGACCCAAGGACGCTTTACATGGTAAACAAACAAACAAACAAAAGGGGCAAATAATAAGGTACAAAATTAAATAAGTAGGAGTGGAAGCAGGGGGACTGTGATGGGTTAGAGGTCAAAGGCCATGGTGAACAGGTGAGTTTTTAATGATGACTTGAAGATGTCAGGAAAGAACAGTCAATGCTCATTCTAATGCTAATGCTAACAAAGACAGGACAGTAATTCGAACCACCTTCTCTCTTCTCCTCAGCCAACCTGTTCCTCCTCATTTCCTCCATCCTGGGCTCCAAGATGGCCGGACCTCACACCCAGTTTGTGCAGAGTTTTATGGAGGAGTGTGTTGAGTGCCTGGAGCAGGGGAGCCGGGGGAGCATCCTGCAGTTCATGCCCTTCACGATGGTGAGTTAGCGTCCGGCTGGGAGGGAAGAGAAACCGGGGTGGGAGCTGGAGAGGGATAGAGATAAGGAGGGGAAGGTTACATCACACATTGCTGGGAAAGGGTTTGGTCTTTCTTCATAAACGGTGTGTCTCGAAGGGCCATGCTCCGGATTTGATCAATGTGTGTGTTTGGAACAAGTCGAAGGGACTGCTAATTTCAATATACATATTGTCTCTCCTCTCTTATTTGCATTTTTTTGCTTTTAGCGTGAGTTGCAGACTGTTGAGATGTCGGCCGTAGAGATGTTTATTGTACTGTAAATTACCTTTGGCTTGTGGTGCTGAGTGCCTGTCTTTCCAAATCATAACCAGTTACTTAAGATAATCCACAGATCTTGTTGTGAGCAGTTTCACGTGGGAACTATTTTCCTTCTAACAAACTACAACCACAAACCATATTTCCCTGCAGTAGAAAAAGCGTGTGTTTACTTACGCACAAGAAGCTGGTGCTCTTTCTTTGGTATACGTGGGTAGAAATAAATGAGTTCCTGCTTGAAACTGCTTACAACAATGTATTTGGATCATCTTGAGTCACCGGGTCATGATTTCTAGAAAGAGAAATTGCTGACGAGTTCTTCAAATGTATTTTTTTTTATCTCTTTCACTATGTGAATGCCATCTAGTTTTGTTTTATGCAAGAGACAGCTGATGTCACTTAACAGTATGAAACATTCTCACTCCCCCGCAATAGAGGAATGGGTAGATGAGATATTCATAACGGAAAAAATACTTCTTCTCCTCGCCTACAAATGAATAGATTTCTCAGTTAAAGAGTTATATTTATAGAGTTGACAAACTTCTAATCATCAGCTTGACACCCAGTTACACTGACAACAGAAAAGGTTGCTTGGATTCCTAACCAAAATATTATAATGATTTTGTTTGTTTTAAAACTTGCTGGAATATCCATAACTATGTGAATGTACTCCATTGTTGCTTTACATACCTCTGTTAATGTATAAATGAGAGTAACACATGCATCATTTCCGGGCAAAAAGTACGGTTGCACCCACTTTTGGGGGAAAACAAAACTGTCATTTGAATGGCGGTCAATACAAATTCTGAAGTTTTTGCCAATCAGATCAGAAATGTAAGAAAACAGTGGATTTTTGGATCTTCAAAGAACCCGGTTACAATGGCCAGACAAGCAAACAATTACATTAAATCGAAGATCGGGCTCGATATATGGTTAAATATAGCAGTAGGCGATCGATGTCCATAGATGAGAGTAACATCTACATCACTTTACGGCCCCGCCCACTTTTGGGGGAAACCAACGTTGTCATTTGAATGGCGATCAAGCCTGAAGCCACAGAGCTCTTCTTTTATTGTCCTTTTTTCTTGGAGGAAGTACAGAAAAACTGAACTCTGGATTTGTTTTAATGTTTGAGGTGCAATAAACGACACCGCAGCTTTTTGGCATGATACAACTATTATTTTCCGCCTCGCTCATGAGAGTAACAGCCGGCAAAAATGTGTGGGTGCAACACAATAAAACTGAAAAAATGAAAATAAATAGTACAAGTAAATACAAAATGAAAAATAGTGAAATAGTGCAATAAGAGTATACAAGTGATTGAAATATGATATATTAGATACATAATTTCGAAGTGGATTCATGTTATGGATGTTGTTTCAAAAGTTCAGGTGTTTAATAGTCTTATGGCCTGTGGGATGAAGCTGTCTCTGAATCTGGTGGTTTTAGTCCGGATGCTGCGGTAACGCCTGCTAGACGACAGCAGACAGAACAGTTTGTGGCTGAGGTGATGGGGGTCTTTTATAATCCGGAGGGATTTCTTCCTGAGCCGCTGGGAGTAAAGGTCCTCCATGGATGGCAGCTCCGTCCTGGTGATGTTCTGTGCAGTTTTCACCACCCTCTGTAAAGCCTTACGATTGAGGGCGGTGCAGCTGCCGTACCAGGCCGTGATGCAGCCAGTCAGGATACTCTCTATAGTGCACCTGCAGAAGTTGCAGAGTATCCTGGAGTCCATGTTGAACCTCCTCAGCCTGCGGAGGAAGAAGAGCCGCTGTCGAGCTGTTTTGGTGACGGTGTTAGTGTGATGAGTCCATGTCTGGTCCTCAGTGATGTGGACACCGAGGAACCTGAAGCTACTGACTCTCTCCACCGTAGTCCCATTGATGGCAATGGGGGCGTGTCCCTCTCTCGGCTGCTTCCTGTAATCCACAATCAGCTCCTTGGTTTTGCTGACGGTGAGATGGAGGTTGTTGTCCTGGCACCAAGATGTCAGGTTTTTCAACCTCTACGCCGTCTTGTCGCCGTCGGTGATCAGGCCGATGACGGTCGTGTTGTCAGCAAACTTCACAATGGTGTTGGAGCTGTGTGTGGCCACACAGTCATGTGTGAACAGGGAGTAGAGGAGAGGGCTGAGCACGCAGCCTTGAGGGGCTCCGGGTGTTGAGGATCAGGGAGAGCAGATGTGGGATGTTTCCCACCCGCACGCCTGGGGGCTCCCAGTCGGAAGTTCAGGATCCAGTCCGAAGGGCGCTGGTTTGAGCCCGAGGTCTCTGAGCCCTGATGCAGCTGAAAGGGCCCACAATCGTTGGTGAAAGCTGAACTGTAGTCAATGAACAGCATTCTCCACATATGTTTCCTGCTGGTCAGGTTGTGAAGGGCAGTGTGGAGGGTGAGGGCTATGGCGTTGGTCTGTGGACTGTGCCTCAGGCCAACTGCAGGGGGGTCCAGAAGTCAGGGAGGGAGGAGGAGGGGGATGGGAGGAGGTGATGAATGTTTTTGACAACCGCTCAAAGAACTTCAAATGATAATGGAGGTGAGTGCTACAGGGCGGTAGTCCGTTGAGGCCCTTGTAATTTGAAAGGAAATGGATTCAATCGAGACGTTTTTTCGTTCGTTTTTGTCCCCACTTCTCAACCAAAAGTTACACCCTTGGCTACAGCTCTTATTTCAACCAGGCTAAAACAATTCAGAAATCACTTCCGATAAAAGCATGATTGGCAAACTAATTTGTATGCTTATTTTGTCTTTCCCCAAATTGTCCTGCAGGGGAGCTGTTTGCCCAGGCACCATTATTACTTGAGTACCCCGCGGTGTTTCAGTTGCGGAAACGGTCAGCGACTCCAGCCCGATATTTTGTTGCGTGCGCATACAGGATGACCAGCGGTGAGATGTGCATTTTAGAAAAACAAAAAACCTTTTTAAGATTGGTAGAGAACGTGTTATTGACTTCTTTTTCAGGTGAGTATCTGTAATATCACGTTCCTGTCCACAGAGGCGCAGTGCTTTCATAGGAGTTGGCTTCGAGGACCGAGGACGTTTTGATTTCAACGCGGGGGTATTTCTTGCAGGACCATGTTTCGAGAGTGAGGGAGCGGTGAGGGCGGGGTTTGGGTGTGGTTTTAAAAGCGAATACACTGTCACAGTAATCAGTATACCGGAGATGCGACTGGGGAAACCATCAGACATGCAGACGGACCATTAGTTTCTCTTCTAAGTATTAACAACGTTGTTTTACAGTGGTCGTGCTGTTCCTACAACCCTCTTGCAGGACACAAAGCAGTCCAGGGCCAAACAAAATGCCTGTCTCTGGAGATATACAGTACTGCACTGTAGTTACTGTACTGTCTGGTGTTGTTTTTGGGAAACTGCTGAGATGCGTTGTTTGTTTGTGTATAGTGTGCTGATGGTTTGTATCTTTGTGTCTCTGCCACCCTGTCTGTTATGTTCGTGAAACCAGGAGAGTCATTCGAAACCAGTAAAAATGCGCGCCATCTAGTGGATTCAGGACCAAGCTGGGACTTGGGCTTTAAAGAGGGGCAGACCCATCACACTCAACATAGGGGTTAAGAACATCAATATATCCATCTTTTGATCTTATATTTTCCAAATATGAAATGAGCTTGATTGTCAGGCTGTAGAAAGTTATGGTCACTATTTCAATTAGTTGCCTAGTTTTTATTAAGCAGCCCATAATAATCCAAAGGTTAAAAGTATTTAAGTTTCATTCAATGTAAAAGTAAACTGGTCTGTTGGAAGAGCGTTAATATTCCTATAAATCTTTTCCGTTCTTTTCTGTTAGCAAGGTAGAAAGAAGATAGCTCTTCTTCCTAAGCTCTGGTGGTATTGTGACTCCTTCCCACCACCACCTGGAGAAGATGTCCGCTCCTCTGTCAGGCGCCTGTTATCACAAATTCATGCCCCCAGACTTATGTTTGTTCTACGCGGATCAGGTAGGGATGGCACATTCTTATATATATATTGCTACCACATTATATTTTATCTCTTATGATAATGACCTCTTTGTGACTCGTCACTAGTCATGTGTAGATTATAGTGGTATATGGTTATCACTAGTTGTGGTAATATAATGGTTGTTAGTAAATGTGCTAAGTCTTAATAATTATCGGTTGTGACTGTATAATATCTAATGTGTATATGGAGTCATGCTCTTAGAGCTTCAGGAGCAGCGCAAATAAGAAGAAATGTGTGTCAAGTGGTTGTAAGACAGCCTTTAATAGACTCTGTGTGTAAAATATCTTACTTTATCAAGTTTTGATTTAAATTATTTGTGTTCATGAACCAAATTGGTGTTCCGCCTAGCTCTGGTTGAGGCTGGACAGGCAGTTAACTCAACACAGTGTCAGTTTCAAACGCTAGTCGATCTTCTGGGAGATTCTCTGCGTCCTGCTAAGTAGAAACGTATTTTGTAATATTCACTATGGGTGGCAAAAACTATTTGTGGTCATTATACATTCAACCATATGACTCAGGAAGTCTTTACAAAGTGGTTTTTGTCCTTTTCCAACCGCAAAGGCATGAGTGATGTTTGGCCTGGTTTCAGTCACAGTTTCAATATCATCTATCTAATATACAGCATAGGTAATTTCTCCTTTATCACAGTGGATGGTTAATACCACTTTACAATAATTGTCCTAATATTCTATTATTAATTCGGTTTGAAAATATCTTAACTTTATCAAATTTGATTTAAATTATTTGTGTCTCATGAAACTA